CAGATACATACATCGTCAAATCAACGAAACTGCTACTAAGCTGTCAAGGTACGTGCATATAATCTGCAAGACTGCAGTCAAAGCGGTTGGTTGTTGTGCCAAGGCAGCGTCAAGACAACGGCCGATATGTTTTGAGGATTTCCAGATGGGACTCAGCAGCGCAGGGTTCGACACCGATCAAACGTGGAAAAAAACTTGTCGAAAAAATGGGGTTCCAAACGTCGGTTTTATTTTCATGTCATGATGTCTGATTTTCCTTCATACACTCTAACAACGCCTGGTTTACTCGCTTTCGGATTTTCAATAAATACCAACAAGCATTCAGAAACTGCTTAAAGATTGTGCTAATACAAATACGCTCTAAATTTTATGTATTTTCCCAAGAGTAAACTGGTGATAGAACCTCCTTACGGGAAAGAGGTGACCTTCACAAACAAGCAGCGCATCACTAGATCGAGAGGTCAGGATAGCAATAGTCTCAACACGTGATCAGAGCAACAGAAGCAGATTCAGATATAATATTCAGATAGCTGGAATGCATCGAGCATATAGCACGATCTAAGGGCATATGAATATGAATTCACCCTTGTATTTTCTGATTGCAGGAAACGGCACCTCGTCAGAGAAACCTCCAGATGCTGCTGATCTTGCATTTATGCATGGACATCTCATCTTTCATTCTCCTGCCGAAAATCGTTAATGTATGCAGGTCGTAAAACAGTCAGTTCCGGCTGATCGAATGCTAGTGCACCGTATTTCTAGTGCATTTGCTCAAAAAGGTAAGGCATGTAATTTTTTGTTGGTGCGGATGTAGCTGTAAGCGGCGGCTGGTCCGCGTCAAGCCATAAGGTCAAACGACAACTACAACACCTACCAGAAAAGTCAGTAGGTTTACCCGGACGAAAATCCGTAAGATGCTGGTCGAAACATCGATATCTGTCTATCGTTCGATAGATTATGTATAAAAAACTTTAATATGATGTAATTCTATATGACTACCCACCTATACACGTTCATTATTTTGATATATCCCTTTTCTGAATAAACAGTAGCGTCGATATCGTCACTTTCTGCCAGTGCAATCTGGGGTTCAAATCAAGAAGAACGGGCAAAAACAGAAACAGTGACTCGAGTGCTGAGTTAAACCGTAC